AATATTCATTCGTCTATATTACAAAATGTAATATTTCAAGATAGTCTATGCTACAAGCACAATAGGGGAAGAAAGCCATCATAGTTTACCACGACATTTTACGGATGGTCCCACTAGAAAATATCCCCCTAGTTTAACAGTTAAGTAATAAGATACTGTTATCCATTCACTTATAATAATAAATTATTGTACACGCTCAAGAATTATTTGTTTAGTGCAAAAGAGTATTGGATTGAAGTTTACTCAGTTATTAATTGTATCCAAGTCTATTACTGAGAGAATGGAAGCAAAGCAATACAAGTCATTTTTTTATGCATTAACAACATTAAGAGTTTGATTCTCCTTCATCGACTATCTCCAATAGTTTATTTTTCCTACGACTATAAATAAATACCCATATTTCATTTTTTTAAAGCTTAATATGTAGTAATTATCTCATGACCATAGCATTATTATTAAAAGGTAATGTTTCTTCTAATAGTAAAAAGTACTTATTGGGTTGGCAAATAAATCCTTTCGGTTTTCAGGGTGAAATAAAACTCGAAGTATTATAGACATAAATTTTATTTTAATCTACAATATATTTACCATTATTTAATTTGACTTTTTCCCATCTTTCCACCAACTGCATAATGCCATGCTCATAGAATATCTGGAATTTATTGTTAAAAAACTGATCCAAGTGGTTTTGGATGAGCGCTTACTTTTGAAATTTCATTCCATTTATGGAGTTCTGCAGAAACCGGAATAAGTTGTAGTCACTTAGAGCTAGGTCTGATGAATATGTAGGGTGGGGCAAAAGGTCCTATCAAAGGCACAATAATTTAGTAGTAATTTATTAGTAGAATAAAGTAATTTAGCAGAAGACCACAACATGCTTCCGATTTGCCAGTTCTGGGCGTTTATTTTTAATTGATTGATTCAATTTTGTTAATTGTGAGCTGCATAGAATTGAATCAATTGTTCGTCCTGATGGCAATAGTTCATAGAAAATAACACCCAAGAAATTTCACCATATGGATAGCATTATTTTCTTTGGATGCAATCCGGGTTTTGAAATTCTTCTAGAAGCCTCGCTACTAGATCCCCAAGGTTTTATACGCACTACCATATCGTAAAATAGCCGTTTTTTATCTGATGTTACCAACCATTAACTAAAATAGGTCGTTTTGTTGTCGTTTCCATAGTGAATCACTAAAATAATTGCGTGTTGCCAAGTTGACTTTGGTAAGAGACTAAGGGACTCAAACAATAAGCCTGGAAACATAGTCGAGCTTTGTGCAAATGGTTTTCTACGCTTGTGTGCAACACATTTAGGGCCATAGAAATCACGTGCACTGATTGGGTGGAATATTGATCAACAAAGGCCTTAACATTGCTCGTTTTAATTTCATGTGGGCGACCAGGCCGTTGAGCATCATTGATTTCAAAATTTCCGCAATTATTTACATTAAACCATTTACTAATTGTCAACTGTTTGCTGACGAGTTGAAAATATTATGTAAAGCATATAAATATACAAAAAAAAGTACATACATATGCGTGTGTTTTATTTATACACACGCATATGTATCATACGAATCATTTTTTTTTTTATACTAAAACTAAAAACTAGTTTTTAGTTTATTGTTTACATTTTTAATCTAATAATAATATTTTATGGACGAAATTTTAAAGAAAGTTAGTTTAGGACGAAAGTATTTTTTCCCATGCATAGCTGATGGCTACATATAAACTGCAGTTAAATACACTCCTAAATTTAAAGAATTTTGTTTTTTCGTGGTAGCGGGAAATTATATTAAGAAATTTGATACAGCACATAGAAGCCTAGAATATAATCCGAAAAGGATACGTTCTTATTTCTGTTATTTCAAAAACTAATTGCTATTCAGTTTCTCAAATAAAAATAGAATATCATTCTTCAGGCATTATTATTGAAGGTCGGTAATATTGAGACAATACGTCTTCAATGACGAATACTTTTCTTCGGCAAGAACCTGCTGAGTTGCAATAATGTTTATTATTTTTTTGGCGAATACCATAAATCTGTATGAAGTATTATTAAGAAGATTAAAGTATGCATTATTGGCTCAGTTCCAGTTTTGAAGATTTCGATGCAGTTCAAATTGTTTATTATATTTATTTATCAGTATCGTTTATTATGGTATATTTTCATTTTAACAAAAGAACTCCGTCTCATCCTGCTGTCAAAGTTTAAGATAGTGCACGGTATTCGTCTAATGGGTTGTGACTATTTTGACTTTATAATACTTTTATTTATTGTCGAAATTGACTGATGTATCCTGCGTTTAGTGCAAATAGTCATTAAGTAACCTTTAAGAAATTTAAAACAATAAGAACTTTTGATGAATTTTCTCTCTTTGAAATTAAAACATAGTGCACTTACTTAGTTTTCGCATCCTTATTCGAAATGCACAATGTAAAAAATTTACAAGCTCATTCTATTTTAACTAAAGCTTACATTTTTTAGCCTGCGTACAATACGTAGTCTGCTACTTTGGAAAATAGCAGATGGATATAAAATTAAAAAGATTAAATCGAAATTGTCAAGATGCTATTTAAAATCGTATAAAATTTGATACTAAATTATGCTAATAAATCATAAAGAAATCATTAGTTTTTATGCTGTTCTGTAAAAAAAAAAATACTCTTTTACATACGATCTCTTCCACTAAATGTAAGGGTGTGTATATTTCATTTATTAATTTATATGAAGAAACTAAATTTAGTTATTTATACTCTCCACCATGAGAAAGCAATCATGGTACAATAAGGGAACCTCGACCATTCCGCCCAACACAAAACATGAGGAATTCCAACGAAAGGTTCTCTGAGCCATTGAAGTTGTTAGTACCTCAACGTAAACAAAACCTTTCCCACAGCCCAGGTTAGGAACTCAAGATTAGTTCAAAGAATGTGGTATAAAATCCTGATTTTTTTAACCGAAAAAAAAATATTCCTTTTTAACCATACTAGAATACAACCATTTTTATTTCAAGTAATATAATATACCTATTAAGAGGATAAATAAGAATAATTAAACAATGCTTATGTATAATTATGAAGTTAAAATAAAAAAGAAATAATCACAAGATATTTCTGTTAAAACTCATATATGAATTCACTTAAAATAATATTAGATATGTCAATATTTTTGGTATATTCCCTGACTCTCTCTCTCTCTCTCTCTCTCTCTCTCTCTATATATATATATATATATATATATATATATACTTTGGATATTCGATCAGTTCATTCGAATCAACATTACTAAAACACGAATTTCAGCATTCGTTTTAAAACTCTCGATGTTTTAAACAAAACGAACAATTTTTACACACACTAATATGAAAAAAAAAGGTTAATAATTTGGAGTTGTTAATACCGACGCCCGAAGTACCTGAATTATTATATATATATATATATATATATATATATATATATATATATATATATATATATATATATATATATATACATATATATATATATATAATATATATATAGAGAAAGAGAAAGAGAGAGAGAGAGAGATAAAAATCATAGATATCCAAGTAAACGGCAAAAATTTTCCCACTGCATGTGGTTAATTGGGTATTTAAGAGATATAATGAATGACACTAGTTAAATTCTAGACATGCAAATTAAACAATAAGGTTCCTTTAATGAATCAGATTTAAAAAGAATTTAAGAAGATTTCCTACTGGTACTTATTTTAGTCTATTTCCTAAGATCATATTTTATGAAGTTGCTTAAGGCATCTTTTTTTAAATATATATTAATAAATGCTTGGTACTTAAGAAAAAAGCTTTAAAACGTTGCCAAGTTTATTCAAAATATTACACTTATCCAAGTATATCTTTTTAACACATATATTTTTTAATTTCAGGTAAATGAATTTTGATTATTGATTTCTCAAATCCTGAGTAAGTAAAACCTTTTATACTTAAAATTAGGACAAGATACACCATTTCATGATAATTAAAGTTATAAAATTAAAAGTAAAATATATATATATATATATATATATATATATATATATATATATATATATACCAAAAAGTAAACAACAAATCTGTAATCATAAGCAATTAGGAAAATAAAAATAAACTACTTAATAACAGTAAATCTGGTTAATTTAGATATACTGATTATTTAGAATTACAATAATTTGTGATATCAATGTTTCATATATGAGAGATAAATACATTTTGGTTAATATATTTATTGTGTTTTTCAATACGCAAGGGTTTTAAATAATATTACAGCTTAGTAAATAAAAATTTTCCTCAGAGTAAACTTACCGAAAAATAATAATTCAGGAACTTTGGGCGTCAGTTTTTAGTACGTGTAAAAATTGTTCGTTTTGATTAAAACATCGTGAGGTTTAAAACCAATGCTGAAATTCGTGTTTTAGGAATGTTGATTCGAAATTTGAATCAACTGATCGGATATCCAAAGTTGGGATATCAAAAAATGTTTCAAGACAGATAGGCTGATAACTTGAAAAACGGGATGAAATTACAGACATACTTCTGATACGCTCTATAAACCAGAGCTGAATGACTAAAGAAAACTTAGGCTCTGCTAAATAAGTCGATGTAGTTTAGAAAATTGGATTTATGCATTTGGAAAATTAAATTTATATATAGTAAACAAAAGGTATACCTAAGGTATAGCTATACCTGAATCCACTTAATAACAAATTGGTAGTCATTATAAAAATTATAGGTCACGTTCCAGAAAGTTTAGATTAACGGCGCAAATTGGCACTATTTCACGCGATCGCCTCCAATTTCTGAGATCCGTAAACCGACATACAAGCAACAGTTGACTCGGATCTCGAACGACAACAACTTTCGCCTTAGTGAACCATTGCGGTCAGATTGGATATGTGGCCAGTAAAGACTATGTTGGAGCCGCTAAAAGAGAATTAGCGAATAATGAGGAGGGAGAGGGAGAGGAGAGAAAGCGAAGGGATGAAGGTCACTCCAGCCAGGTTTCGGTTTCAGTCCTCACCTGCCGTCACTTACCTGCCCCAACCTCACTCCACCTCTAGGCCGCTGGAGTGCAACGGTAACCCACTCACCCTCCGTGCTCAGTCTCCAGCGACAGTCTTAGAGTTGAATGATTGTCAATTGGATTAGGATTCAAAGCGATTATTGACATTCCAATTGATCGTGTTGGGTTAAGAACGATGTACTGATGATTCATACTGACGGATTTGCAAAATCACGAGAAGTGGGAAGTTTATAGTCTGTGGTATAGACCCTTTTTTATTAAACGATTAACATCCTCAAAAAACTTTGTGAATAGCTTCATCTTATCGTAACCCAATAATATTTGATTTGCGATAATTCCAACAATTGGGCGTTTTCAATCTGGAGATCGGCAAACGTCGTCTAATTAATAGGTAATAAAAACTCATGAATACCCATTTGCTTTCCATTTGAATCGTAAGATAATGTGATCACCAAATGTAAAAAAAAAAAAGAAGAAAAAAGGTAGCCTACAAAAACATTGTACGGTTTCGCGTGACCTCCAATCCAAAATTTCTCTTTTTTTTCTTCAAATTTGTGATGATATTATTTTACTATTTAAGTGAAAAGCAAATGGGGTATTTATGAGTACCTAATCAATTAGAAAAATTTTGCTGAACTCGTGATTGAAAACGCCCCAATTCCGAGAATTTTCGTAAATAAAATATTTGTAGGTTACGATGAGATTAAAATATCCCTAAAGTTTTAAGCGGATGTTCCTTATTTAAGGAAAACGGGTCTGTATCACAGACTATTATTACTGAATTGCACATTGAACGTATTGAAGTGCAAGGCAGCATTTATTTTTTTTTTTTAAACTTTCATTGAGTATTAATACAGTCTGCCACACTGAAGGGCAAGGCAGCATTAAAATAAAACATTTTCATTCATTCTATATATACACAGAAAAGAGAAATAAACATAGATAATTAAAATAAATAATGAACAAAACTATAATTTTTTTAATCAATAACAACAACAATAGGGATAAATTAATAATAATAAGATAAAAAGAGGATAAACAAAAAGCACACTAGAAATAAATCTATCTGTACCCATCTCTATAAATCTACCATGCCCATGTTTCTTTGTAAAGAAATAAGCTACTGGAAGCAATAGGAAGACGCGTGATATAGCTTTCGGATTTACCATGTCATAGTGGTCTTCCAATTTCTTTACAATCACACGTACATTTTTATTTTGCTTTTTATGCTTAAACCACGTAATAGTTCTTATTATAGAATGATAACTAATAGTATGAAAATAAGAGTAATATAAGTTACATTACAAATTGAACAACAACTATTATGTAAAGTAAAATTTTCTTGCGTATAAGACGAAAAATTTATTTATTTTCTTTTGTATGAACCAACGCATTGAAATATATTTTTTTAATTTAGAAAATGTACTAGGGTTGATGTATGGCTATTGTATTAATGATATATACACATACACACTTGTTTGAAGATTAAATTCCTAAATATATTGCAAGTTCGTCACTAAACATAACAAGTGGGCGGGGTGGCCGAATGGGCTAACGCGTGTGCACAGCACCACCGTTGCCCGGCAACCTGATATATGATAAAGTGATAAAAAAATAGTCACGAGTTCGCATCCCGGCGCCGGAGGAGTCTTTTAAATCCCCGCCCACATCCCCTGTCACTGGGAAACCCCGTATAACCTTAAAGGCGAGAAAGGGGAGGACTCAAAAAAAAAAAAAAAAAAAAAAATTAACATAACAAATATATCAGAAAACAGTAATCAAAAGATAAACGACTTTGCTAGCCTGGAGATTCAATATCAACCACATTCTATTTAAATGCTTCCACTGGCTCATGGCTAACATAAGAACTATCAAATGATCCAAGTTGAAAGTACGAAATATTATTTTAAATATGCTTGTAAACATTTTTTTTTTAAATGATCATTTTGGAAAAATATTTATTGACTAACGATGCAGGCAATTTATTAATAAATAACATAGTTTGAATACAATCTAATATATCCTACTAAATTTTATTTATTATACTACATTTTTTTTTCAATTTTTAGTAGGGTGAATAAAGTTCTTTAAACTCGGTGTGTAAAACGAATAAGAATTATTACCGATCAGTCAATTTAAGTAACTAAAAGTAAAAAAAAACCTAATAAAAAAATGTAATACGTTTCATTAAAACCAACTAGATTAACTACAAAATCAGTCGCTTAGTGATATACTTTAATTATCATTACATTGGAGTATAATTAATCATTAATGTTATTTGAACGACTAACTTAACAGGCAATGATTCTAATTAGTTTTAATGAATTATTGAAGGAAGCTAGTCGAATGTTCTACATATCATAGGTGATAAATATTCAGGACGCAGTCTTTTTTAAAAAAAATTAAATTCTTTTTTTTTTTAAAAACTGCGTCCTGAATATTTATTACCCATGATAAGTTGTTTTAAAGTAACTAATTATTTTTTGTTTAACTAATTCTTATTTTACTTTTGTTAATTTTATATTTTCTGTATATATGGTATGAATGTGTTCACATATCACTATAATTATTGTCCAGGTGACAGATTGTTATATTTCTAAATAGATAAATCAAAAAAAAAAAAAAAATTCTAGCACTAGGTTAATAAATATAGCGGAAAAACGATTGGAAGCCGCAACTACGTCACAGAAGCCACATTCCCCCACCTATGGTATAAAGTATTATTCAGGCTTGGGACATTATTTCAGATAATGTATCTTAAAACACAAAATAAAATACTTTTTTTGTATTTAATAGGTTTGTTATTTCATATATGAAATATATTTTCTAAAAACAATTTAAATACTTCATAATTAAAATAAACTGTATTTTAAAATAATATTTAAAATACATTTCGTTCAGGTCTAGCTTTATTGTAATCAGCAGGAATCAGTGGTTTGTCATTAATTATGCTATATGGGGGAGATATTACTTTCTGAAAAGATAAATAAAATACTAATGATGATAATATGAATTATTACTGAGGCATGTATACTACATTTAGTAAGTTTAAATAAAATAATTTTAAAAAACAAACAATTTACATGATTTTAAGTTTTAATCTTTCAAATCAACGATAGCATTCTATATTCGGCCACGTTTGCTGTTAATCAAAATGCTAAATATGACCTACTTGGAAAAAAGTTTAATAGGCCAGAAATAGGGTCTTGGAGGCCAATAACAAAACAAGTTGTATTGAACTAGTTGTATTGAAATAAATATAATACACTCGACCGTGCTGCTTAAATAAATTTTGTGACATCAGCCATGTCAAGAACTAATTTTAAAATGATTCAGAGGTCAAAGATGTAGAGTACTTGATTCTCTGATAGAAACTCCCACGCTTAGCTTAAGGTCGCTCAAGGCTAACAAACTACTTGACCTAACTTCAATTCCAAGCTATACTTTCGTTTGAATTCATTATTAGTAAGGTGATAATAACCATATATGTTGCTAATAGATCAGTAATCAATAATACATAATAAAAATAGAAAATAGCCTCTAAAATAAAACATTTTTTAAAATACCAAAGTTCTTTTTTTTTTTTTTTTATTTATTGAAAAATATTACAATCCGTCTCAAGGACATTTATAATAGTGTTAACAGATCACATTCACACTCTATGTACAGTAAAAAAATACCAAAGTAACACCATATAATTACATTTTTTATGTACGAAATAAGACAGCCTTATTACTAAACATAGGTTATTATTAGGAACAGCAAATTCTTAAAAGGACATATTTTTTCCCCCATTAAAGAAGGATTTTTATTGAGAATCCCAAGGTACAGTAATTAATTGTATAAATATCAAGACTTTTTCCCAAAATATTATTAAACGTTATTACGTCATTCCTTTCTATCTTGATTTTAATATTTATAATTAGTGGAGGAGATCCATCATCCAGTTGAGAATAGGAGATAGTCCTGAAAGTCCAGTATGTGGATTTTTATCGCTGTACAATATATCTCCGAGGCGTAATTAAGATATAGAAATAAAGAAATAATTTTCCTCTTACTTTACAGATATTTTTTTTAGAATTAAACTGCACATGATTGTGTTACAAAAATTAACCAAATTCCCAAAATAGTAATAATTCCAAACCTAATTTTTAAAGTTGTAAATATTAAAGAAAAGTACTGATTAAAAACTCCAACTTTTAAATACCCCTACTAAATAAGAACATACCAATGGTTTTGACTGAACTATGAATCTCTTTAAACTTTCCTACTCTCTCGTATTTCGTAAATTAAAAATGTAAATATGTTGCTACTTTGATATTTTTTTAATATATTTTTTAAAAGCTTATTTATTGAAAAAATATTACAATCTGTCTCAAGGACATTTATAATAGTGTTCACAGATCATATCCACACTCTATGTACAGTAAATAAAATAAATTATACAGAAAAATAATATATATACAATAAATAAGAATTAAATAACCTAAAAATAAATAAATAAAAAGAACGCATACATACCTATATACAATATTTACAATCTGGCGAGAGAACTCCAAACCATGACTCGAGGAGATCCCCGCACTTCTCTCTCAACCGCGTTACTGGGACTAAACCCAGTGGAGATTGAGCAAGAGTGCTTAAGCCACATACACTCATGTCGTGAGTGGAGAAGCTGGCCATTGCCAGAACTCCAATATTTACAAACTATAAAAGGTCGCGGGACCACTGCCGTTTTAATCTCCTTGGAGGATTATATGGATGGGTGGTGCTGGATAAAGATTGTGCAAAGAGATTTGGATGATGGGTAAGGTTCTGGTGGAATTTGGAGAATTTTGATGGGATAAGGTCTAGTACAACTGGGATATTAAGGTCATGGTGTAGAGTTTTGTTGGTTACATAGAAAGGAGCATCGACTATTGTTTGAAGTACTTTGGATTGGAAGGATTGGATGCGTTTGATGTTAGAAAATTTTGCTGTTCCCCACAGTTCAAGTCCGTAAGTCCAAATAGGTTTCAGTATTGTCTTGTAGATCAGTAACTTGTTTTCAATGGAAAGTTTAGATTCTCGGTTTAGTAGCCGGTATAGTTGGCCATATCGTCGGTTTAGTTCCTGTCTTTTAAGTCTAGTATGAGGGTTCCATGTCAGTCGTCTCTCTAAGAGAAAGCCAAGGTACCGGACTGTGTCTGAGAAAGGAAGCTGGATGGAATTAAGATGTACTGGTGGACAGGAACTGCGTCGGAGCGTGAAAATGATGTGTTGGCGTTTGGATTCGTTTACTTTAATACGCCATTTATTACACCAGTTCTCAATCAGGGAGAGGTGTCTTTGAAGGTTTAAGGATGCTATATCAGGATCTAAGTCGGAAGATAGAATGGCGGTGTCATAAGCAAAAGTTGCAAGGAAGGTATCGGGATGGACAGTTATATCGGCGGTAAAGAGGATGTAAAGGAGGGGACCCAATACGCTACCTTGAGGAACACCTGCATCAATTGGATAGCAATGCGAAAATTCAGTACCACAACGAACTCGGAAGGTACGGTCTGAGAGATAGGAACGGAGAACAAGGTATAAGGACTGAGGAAGATGGGTTTTCAGCTTGAAAAGAAGCTCGGCGTGCCATACCCAGTCTAAAGCTTGAGCTATGTCCAGAAATGCACCCGAGCAATATTGCTTGCTTTCCAATGCTGCGGAAATATAATCGACCACTCGGAATCCTTGTTGGACTGTAGCGTTGTGAACGAACTCCGAACTGATGGGAAGGAAGATTTTGGGATTCTATAAAGGGTAGGATGCGTTTCAGGAGGATCTTTTCAAAGATTTTTGAGAGAATCGGAAGTAGGCTAATTGGTCTGTAGGACGTTGAGGTGTTGGGAAGTTTGCCTGGTTTCGGAAACAGGATAATAATGGAATGTTTCCACAAAAGAAGAAAGTGGGTGGTTCGTAGGATGCTATTGTATATGTATGTAAGAAATATGACAGCTTTAGGAGGGAGTTGTCAAAGGATCTGAGAGGTGAGGAGGTCGTTTCCAGGTGATTTGCGGGTAGGTAGTGTTTGTAAGTGGAATTTGACCTCAGAAGGATTAACTGCTTTAGGCGGTAAGGAGAGTGGGATGGGTGAATGAAGGAATTCCTCTACTGCTGACGTGTGGGTGGGATTGGATTCTGGATGAGAGGTGAATGTAAGGGAAAGGTGTTTGGCGAATTCCTCGGCTCTATCTTCGTCAGACGCTGCCCAAGATCCATCACCTCGACGGAGAGGATGTGATATATGATGGGGTTTTAGGATATGTTTTGTGATCTTCCATAGGTAATTGTCATGAGAAGAGAGAGAAGTAAGGTAGGAGTTGAAGGATTGGGATCTGAAGGTGGCCAATTCTATCTTTAATTTTTTGCAAAAATAATTATAGAATTGACGATCGGTGGGGTGTCTAGTACGTTGCCATAATAATCTGGCACGGCGTTTGGTATGGATTAGGTCTATGAGGTGTTGAGGTAACTTATTTTTCTTGGGAGCTCTTGAGGAGTGGTTTGGAGAGGAAGCTGTCCAGATTGCCTGTTGGATAGTGGTGGTAAAAATGTGTACGGCATTGTCAAGGTCATCTGGGGTTTTCAGTGTTATTCTGAGGTCAATTTTATCGGAAAGGATTTAGAGAAAGAGTTTCCAGTTAACTGGGCTTCTGATGAAGGACGGTGGAGAAGACTTAGGAATAGGAGCTAGAGATAATTGGAGTAATAATGGACTATGATCTGAGGATAGTTCGGCAAGACGGGTAAGGGAATGGTTGAGGGGACCTAAGCCACTGTGGATGAAAAAATCGAGGATATCGGGATTGCGGTTAGAGTCCGTGGGCCAGTAGGTAGGTGAGTTAGGAGGAAGGATACTGAAACGTTGGGAATTGGGTGTAGATAACAATGTTCTGCCACGAGAGTTCGTGGTTCTAGAACCCCATTGATGGTGCTTGGCGTTAAAATCTCCACCCAGGATGAAATGATGTCCTAAGGAGTTGAGAAGAGAACAGAATTAGATACTGGATATGGATCTGTTAGGAGGGCAATATGCTGATGCTATGGTGACGGGAAAGGAGAAGGTTTTGATAGCGATAGCGGTGGATTGTAGGAAATCTTTTGTCGGTAATGAGAAAGGGTGATGAGAAAGGGAATGGTGTACAATAACAGCAGTACCGGCACGTGCTTTACCGTCAGGATAGTCAGTACGGTATGTTATGTATTGAGGTATTTTTAAATACTGTTTTCTGGTCAGTCGTGTATCCATAATTAGATCTACGTCCATGTTCTTGTCCAGTAATAAAACTGTTAGTTCGTCAACGTGATTTCTACCACCATTCACATTCCAAACGAGAATGGATATGGGTTTCGGGATGTGAGTCATTAAGGATTTTTTAAAGGAGGGATGAGGTGAGATACGATATTTGTGAGGAGTGGTATGAGTGGAGTAACTAAGGATTTAAAATCGGTAAGGAATGATGCCAGCAAACTGGTGAGGTCTCTTGCATTTGAAGGAAGAGTGATATGATGAAATTGTTTTTGATGGTTAGGTTTATTTGGATCAAAAGGATTTTGAGGTTGGGGTTGAGGTTGTTGTTGCAGCAGGACTTCACAGTTATTGTTTGAGCTCTTACCTTTAAGTAGCTGGGAAAATGATACACTGTTGTTTACTATTCTAGAAGGTTCTCTCTCTCTTCTTGGTCTTCCTGCTTCATCTTGATTCCGGTTTTTCTGGAGTCTGGATTTGAGATTCTTGTAAATTTGGCATCCTTTGTAATTGGCCGGGTGTCCCTCCAGGCATAGTGCACACACTGCAGGATCTTGTATCGGTATTGTGCACTCCACTGATTTGTGCTGTTCACCGCATTTCACGCAACGCGGCAGATGGTGACAATAAGCCTTCGTGTGGCCATACGCCTGACAATTATGGCACTGCACGATTTCTCTCTTGGGGTATGGTTTCTCTACTTTCACCATTGTGTAATATAATCTTGTGATATCGTATATTTTTTCAATACCGGGTGATGGCTCCAGATCCACGAAAAATAAAGGTAATGGAACTTTATTTTTTACTCTAGGCTGCTCCTTATTCTCCTTCAGAACGTTGGTTACCTGACATACTTTGAACCCAAGCGCCGCTAGTTCTTCTTTTATCACTTCAGTAGGGGTTGAGGAGTGTAAATTTCTTATTACTACTCGTAACGATCTCTCCTGCCTAAGCTGGTACGTATGAAAATTCGCATTCGTTTCTGAGAGGTACTTCACTATTATTCGGTAGGTTTCAGCAGTATCTGGTGTTATTTTTGTATCGTTGGTCCTGTTAAGATATGAATAACTGCCAGAGCAGATTTTATTTAGTTGGGTGCAGAACCACTGGAAATTTTTGATATTTTTCACAAATATCGGAGGAGGCCTTGGTTCTGTGGGTATTGTTCCAGACTCCATTGCCTCTCGGTCATTTTGAAGCACTTGGTAGGGGTTTGGAGTAAAGAAAGGGGATTCTTCAATCATTTCTTGTGAAGAAGTTCCTGGTTGTGGCTGAGGTTCTCGTTCTGAAGTGTTCACTTTTGTTGTTGGAAATGTTTCTCGTAGGAAGCGACGAGTCCTTTGTTTGGCTGGTGAGCTAACTCCGTCTGACCGACTCCTCTTGGGCACCATACTGGATATCACTTGGTGAGTATACCGCATACCATAGGAGAAGAAAGAAAGAATGAAAAAAAAGGAGGAAAAAAAATATATATATCAAACAGCAATATCAACTGCTCTGGTGTACACGTGAAATTTTCTCAATGAAAAAATCAGAGAGATTTCACTAAAAAATAGGCAAATACTGAGAGACCAGTTGAGAACACAACCAACTTGGTCCATGGACCATCAGAAAAGAAAAGAAGATCGGAGGAATTGCCGTCTACTAGTAGTTCTGGAGGAGCAACTGCCGACTCTCTGCCTGAAGAAGATGTGGAAGATTTTGATTTCTTTATACCTGAAGAAGATGAGGTGACAGAAATTGAAGACGAAGACAGGCAAGACCCAGAAGATGAACAATTTAGACTTACTTGCAAGGGATGAGTTCAGCAGCCATGATGCAAAACAATTTGAGCAAGGATTCACAGATAGTCAGAGACATAGTCTCAAAGTGGAAACTGAAAAACATAGAACCTACCACAAAGCTGCAAAAGGCTATAAAAAACTGGGCACAGTATTTCACAGAAAATGAAGTCAGCAGCTTCGAAGCTTACTCTTCAAAAAAGCTCAACTCAGATGAAGACATGCAATACTGTCTGGGGATTGGCCACAAAAAATATCATAGAGATGACTCTTCTTACACCACCAAACAGCCAGAACCAAAGAACCAAAACCAATGAATATTTCTAAATACCATCCCTGGTTTGATTACTTTGATATTAAAAAAAAAATAATTTATAGACTAAAGTTTATCTATTTTTATTATTGATTATATTGTATATACAATATATATTATATGTTGATTGGTTATTATTGATAAAAAATTAATATTAGTTTATATAAAAATATAACTGTTTATTATAATCGTACTCATAATAAATTTAAACTAACATGTTAATTGAAATTGAAGTTAGGTCAAGTAGTTCGTTAGCCTTAAACGACCTTAAGCATACATGACGACGTAACTTTGTATAACAGTTGAAGTCATATTTTGTTTATTCCAAAATATCTCTCCAAATAATTCTGTCTTTAAAAACCGGGTGGTGATTAGCAGAGGTAGACAACAAAAAATAGCTATTAAATAGTAAACTCTAAAATTTATTATTTGTCATGGGTATCTAAATTTCAACCGTTTTAAAGATCCAGACCTCTACTGATTTTCTTTCTATTTATTCTAATACTGAGTTATCATTATCTAAATTGGGCGTCGGCAAAAGTTTGCCCTATAAAGAGACCGGTCCTCGATCTGACCGACATATGAGACAGACCACGTCAAAATTTCTACAGGCCTTTTAGCCTCTCAAAGATCAGATCACTCAATTGATAATTTAACCAGTCGTCCGTTTAATTCAATTAGTAATAGGTTATTTTTAATATTTTCAACAAAAATTCGTTGATGAAAGCCAGTAAAGAACTAGAGCTCGAAATAAACATGGATAAGACAAAATATATAGATATAGAAGATAATTCGTTTGAACAGCTAGAGAAGTTTAGGTATCTAGGTTCTACGATAACTAGGAAAAACGAAATTGAAGACGATATTAAGGTTAGGATAAAGGCGGGAAACGCTTGTTATTTTTCTTTGTAAAAATTACTTAAGTTTTCGCCTCCTGTCCCGAAACTTAAAGATTAGAATTTACAAAACCATTAGAAGCTGTCCCAGAACCTAAATACTAGATACAGATGCTAAACATGACTACTTGGGATGAACAACGTCTTAAGGTTTTTGGAAATAAAGTATCGCGTAGAATATTCGGACCGAAGAAGAATGAGTTAACCGGCGAGTTCAGACGGCTACACAACACCAAATTGTGTGAACTGTATTCGGTTAATATAATTGAAATGGTTACATCTAGCGAATCATTACTCCCACACAAATCCAGAATTGAGATTTCACTATGTTATAGGCTTATCAATCCAAAGCATTGATATTCTCACAGGAAATGTTTTCGCTATTTTGTAGATTACAACTAGCTTTTTGATTAGTGGAAGTAAACATTTATACAATTCGAGGTGGAGACATAATTTCTAGGATTTTTTTATAATTATTTTTAAAAGAATTCTTATGATGAATGCGTTTACGTGATTTTAAAAGAAAACATAATAGTAAAGCATAAGTAATAACACTTTTCAGACTTTTGAATAGCTGGTCAAGAAATAAATCCTGTAATTCAAACAGTTGATAAATTGTTGTTTAAAATTTTAAATATGTATCTCAGAATAAGGCAAAAAGAATAAGCATATGTTAATTAATTTTATTAAAAGCCTATTGATATTCTAATATTGATTGGCAACAACAATTCAAGGATAAAAAATTTAAATATTCTTATAAGTTTCTGATAATGACAATGGAAGAGGTAGTGCCGTCAAAGGAATTATAATTATAATAAATAAGGATGTAATAATTATAATTTTATAATTACTCTTAATTATGTAAATAATCAATGAAATCTATTGACGTTCAAGCAACTAGTAACAAGGTGCCATACGATAGGGAAAAAGTCAGGCATTTTCGTCCTGGATACGGAGAGTTATTAAAAAATTTAATTCTTACAATAAAAACACAACTCAAGCTAATATATTGAAATTAAAAAATCAGGTACCTACACATTTTTTTAATCTTTGTTCCAATCACGATTTGAGTTTCACATCAGTTAATTCATTTGCATTAGAAATAGGAGGTAGTCTATGCATTCATCTGAAAGCTTTTTTATTCTTCAATTTATTTAAAAACGAAATGTAATTTAAATTCTCAGTTAACGAATTGCATAAATAGAAACAAACTAATAAAAAGTAGCAAAATACTAACAAGATTTAACCTCATTAGGAAAGAAAAAGTACGTATGATGCAGGAGATAAACATAGTATTATCAAAAAATTAAATTTTTGTTTACATTAATGTTGCGATAAAATAAAATTATATATTTTACTCTCAATTGAATAAACTGTTAAACATCTTTTGATGAATTGTTTTTTTTTTAGGAATACATGCGATACATAACTTGAAAAAAAAGTACTTGTTTCAAAATACACTTATTTTCACAAATTAGCATATTATCACAGATAATTTGATATTTGTGTATTTCTTGAGAAAATAAATAGTACCATCGGATTTATTGGGTGTTTTTAAAGAGAAATCTATACTTTTCACTAAATAAAAAAATGATTAGGTTACATTTTAGAAATGTATTTCGTAATCAAATTTCGCTTTAAAAAAATATTTACGTATATACAGGGTGTTTCAGGGTTAAATTGCCAAACAGCAAAAATGACCTATTGACATCAAAACAAGAGAAAATGTCCGCAAAAGCTTTATTTAGGAGATATTCACACCTAAATATTTTCGTTGTTATGAATTATTTACGTTATATGAAATAAATAAAACCTATTTATTTGTTCTAACTACTTCATGAATTAAAAATAAACATTAAAATTTATACTAAATGTTGTTTTAAGTGAAGGTATGTCCACAAAAGCTTTGTTTAGGGGATGGATTAGATAGAATACTAATATGGCATTTTATCCCTAAATATATAAAAACTATTTATAGTTAAAATATTAAGAACTATTAGATGGTTGTCCTGCACATTACGCAAGAGGTCTACGACAATGGCTAAATTTTAATTATCCCAATCAATGGATTGGCCGTCCAGTACCAGTGGCTTGGCCTGCACGCTCTCCAGACCTGACACCACTGGATTTTTTATTTGGGGTGACATTGAACAAAAAAACTGTACAAGTCCGGTCAATGACATAGATTCCTTACGAAGAAGGATAATTTAATTTTGTGAAACAATAACGCTTATTCACCACTGCTGCTGTTGAAGAAAGATGCCGACTCTATCTGAATGCTCAAGGAAATCACTTTAAACAACATTGAATATGAATTTAATGTTTACATTTAATTAATAAAGTAGTTGGAACAAATAAATAAATTGTATTTACTTAATATAACGTGAATAATTCATAACAACGAAAATCTTTAGGTGTGCATATGTCCTAAACAAAGGGTTTTGGAGATACCTAGATATATTTCTTTATTTTGCAGAAAATACATGCTTTTTTTTTCTTTTCTTTTACTTACAGAATTTTCTTATTCACAATTCAATTTACTTTAACATGGTACTACCTTCGCCATAAAAGAAACAAAAAATAAGACTAAACAATAAAAATAAAAGGAAAACAAAATAAAAATGTAAAGATAAATCCTGGATTAGTGTCCCCAGGTCTCACAAGCATTAAAATTTTCGTCAAAAACTATGCAGATATTTATACAATAACTTGCTGCGTCATAAATATTTTAAATATATATAAAGGCCCAATACATGCAAAATTCAATAAAAATAAAATTAACAATCAATTAGTTGACTTTGCTTGACTAATAAAAAATAAAAATATATATAATAAATGGTCACGCATACATACACAGAGTCACACGCACATGCCCATTCATACATACACTTATATGCATACCTACATACACCTGCATACACATCCACAATATTCATAAAACAATACATAGTTAATTAATAGCATACACATGTTTTTTTTTTCGTAATATATCTTATTTAAGCACAAGTGGGATTCAATATTGAACGTTTTATATTAAATCGGATTTAAATCTAAATTATTATAACATAAGAGATTCTAAAAACTTAGATTAGGGCTGATGAATATATGATATCGCATCCAACTAAAAAATAACCCATACATTATTTCTTTTCTTTTTCAACGGGGTAACAATTTATTCTAACCGTAATAGTTCATGTTCAATCCCTTCAGAACACTTGATGTTATGTGATTCATCGTTTTCTTTGTCAGTCCCAATCCTGAAAGGTCTCGCATGGAATCCCTACACCTTATTCCTCTCCAGGTCAAAGTACAGGAATATTCGTTAATGTCTATGAATGGCACTTTAATTGTTCGACCAATAACCATTCTACAGTCTAAGGCTTTGTATTTGTTAATTTTTACTCTGTGCCAGTAAGAGGTACTCGGATTATCTCCAACGATCTGGGCATCTATTACGAATGTCTTTCCCATTCTAGAACAAACGAGATCAGGTTTCCACTTCCTTTTGCTGCCTTGAGACGAATTATTTTTCTTGTTTCGAGATCCATATTTTCAGTTTGGCCACTTAACCCTGAAACACCCTTTATAATAATAATAATAATAATAATAAAAGTCTTAGCGAACACGAAGGTTCTATGCTGACACCACCAATCGCTTATTACACACCTCCCTCCACCGTTCGCCGTCCGAACCCAGTCCCTTCAGATCGGCTTTAATGCAATCTTCCCACCTTCGGTCTACCATTCGGCACAGCAAATATTAACCTTTTAGGAATTCTCTCGTTACTAAGCCCAACAACTTTACAAGCCCAT